GACATGCAGGGCACAGAGAGCCATGGGTGGCCACAGGGACACCCCTGCATGCCCTTAGGGACATCCAGGGCACAGGGTCACCTCTGGGTGCCCATGGGGACATGTCTGGGTACCCACAGGGTCATTCAGGTTAAGGTGACACCCCTGGGGGCCCATGGGGTCATGGAGGGCACAGATACACTTATGGTTGCCCATATGTCCAGGGCATGGGGACACCCTCGGGTGCCCATGGGGACATCCAGGACAAAGGAACACCTCTAGATGTGCATGGGGTCATGTAGGGCATGGGGACACCCTTGGGTGCCCACAGGGATGTCCAGGGTATGGGAACACCCCTGGGTGCCCACCTGGTCTCACAGAGCAGGATACTCAGAGATTTACCCACAGGGACACCCAGGGCACAGGGTGCCCTTTGGTCCCCATATAGCTCTTTGGCCATCCCTGGGTACCCACCTCTCCCCGATGTGTGCCCAGACGGGTGCGTGCCCCCCTGGCACACCCATCCCCGTGGCCTCAGGCCTGCCCACGTGTCTCCCCGCCAGTCTCCCGCCTACACCCTGGTGTGGACAAGGCAGAACCACGGGACGCTGCCCGAGGGCGCAGTGGACTTCAACGGGATCCTGACACTGCGCGGGGTGCGGCCCCAGGACGCCGGGGTCTACGTGTGCACCGGCTCCAACATGCTGGACATGGACCAGGGCACCGCCACACTCTACGTCCAGGGTCAGCCCCACCCGCCGCCGTGGGCACAGGGGGTCCTGAGACCACTGGGATGGGGATTTGTGGGGTTTGAGACCATGGGGAGGGGCACCGGCGGGTCCTGAGACCATGGGGATGGGGATCTGTGAGGCCTGAGACCATGGGGATGGGGACCCATGAGCTCTGGTGATGGGGAGTGGGCACCTGTGGGTCCTAAGACCATGGGAATGGGCACCTGTAGGTCCTGATGCCATGGGGGTGGGGACCTGTGAGTCCTGTGACCACAGGGATGGGCACCAGAGGGTTCTGAGCCCATGGGAATGGGAACCTGTGGGTCCTGAGACCATGGTGGTGGGTAGGTTCAGTGCTCAGACACCGGGGTGGCGGCAGGTTTGGTGCCCAGGCCCAGGGGTGATGGGCGCACTCCCCTGACACCCCCCACCCTCTTGCAGCAGCCTCGAAGACTCAGATGTTTTACGGCCCCGTTGAGTTCATGGAGGGGCACAGACCGGGTAAGTCACTGCGGGGGTCTCCCAGGGGGGTCCACACGCTGCCCCCACCCGCTGCATGCCTGGACTCCACCACGCACCCCGCTGCCAGCCGAGCCACGCCACCCCCGCTTCCCACCGCCCCACCAGCACCAGGGGGGGGCCCAGTGAGCCCTGAGCCCCCCCTGGTGTCACCGCAGCCGGCACCGCCACCGCCCCCACCGCCAGCGTGGAGCCGGCGCAGCTGAGCGTGGCACCGGGGCAGCCGGCAGAGTTCCGCTGCGTGGGCACCGGCAGCCCCGCGCCCACCCTCGAGTGGCTCGGTAGGTGCCCGCAGGGGACAGGGGGACACTGTCACTGGGTGTGGGGACGTGGTGATGGGGGGTGACACCAGCTGTGTCCCCACAGGAGCGCTGCCGCCTCAGGCCGTGGTGCAGGGCGGGACGCTGCGGTTCGGCGCCGTGGAACCCGCCGACGAGGGGCACTACGAGTGCCGGGCACGCAGCAGCGCCGGGCAGCACACGGCACGGGGGTACCTGCACGTGCAAGGTGAGCGGTGTCACCCTCGTCCCCACCATCCCTGTTGTCCCCCTCATCCCCATTGTCCATCCCCATCATCTCCATCATCCCTGTCACCCCATTGTCCCCATTGTCCCCATCATCCCCTGCATCCCCATCCCCATCATCTCCATCATCCCTGTTACCCC